TTATTTATTTATTTATTTATTTATTTATTTATTTGGTAGAGTGTCTTACTATGTAGCTCAGACTCATAGTGATCCTCCTGCCTCAGCCTCCCCAGTGCTGGGACTACAGGCACATGCCACATGATCAGCTTTGGTGGAAGGCACAACAGCTGTTTTGAGATTTTGTACCATTGTTTTTATTTTTTTCTTTCTTGAAAATAAAAATAACTGATGTCAATTAAAAAAAAAAAAGATTACAATAGATATCTACCAAAGAAGATATACAAATGGTCAACAAACTAAGTCAAAAGAGTTTCATTATCATTAGTTGAATCCCAGTGAGATGCAACCTCGTACCCAATAATATGGGTTAACAGCAACAAGTTTGGATAAAAAATGTTCCCCAAAGGCTCATGTGTCCAGACGTGGGCCTTGTGGAAAGTGACTGGATCATGTGGGTGTTCACCTCACCACTGGGTTAATCCACTGATTTTGTGGCTGAATAGGCTAATAGGTGATGAGACTTAGTGAGGAAGCAGGTTGAGTGTGCAGCCTGGAAGGGTTATCTTGTCTTTGCCCCTTTACCCCTGTCCCAGATCCCTGGTTGCCATGAAGTAAACAGCTTTCCTCTACTGTGGCTTTCTACCATGACATTTCTGCCTTGCCACAGGCCTAACAGCAGTGGGGCCACCTGACCAATTCCTGACCTCTCTCAAACTGTGAGCCAAAAGAAATCTTCCCTCCTTTTAAGCTTTTCTTACTTTGTTGTAGTGTCACAAAGCTAAGGATACTAAATGAAAACTAAAAGAACACTAAAATGAAAACATTTGAGCTAGCTCACCTCTTCTTGAATGTACTGTAAGAGAAAGGGTGATGCTCTTAAATTGTCAACAGGAATATTGAAGAATCCCTGGATTTCCTTCTGGTGTAAATCCATAGTAATGAGATGAGTTAGACCTTTGAAAGTAAAGCAGATACAAGTGCATAAATAGTTACATGCAGGTTGTGCTGTAGGAAATAAGCGCCATATAAAGTCAAATATTACTTATAAGGTATGATGGAACCATTTCTTCCTTATCAAAACCCAGTACTTATACTGGTTCAGATTTTTTACTATTGTTAGATGCATGACCTTCACACCCATTTAAATTGCAAAGATGGTAATATAGAAATGTCTCAAAAATTCTAGTAAGGCAGACGATATTTTCTTTAAAGTTTCCTTTACAGGTATGGCAAAGCTCAATACGAAGATGCACCAGTCTGAAAACTGGAGAAAACATAAAACCTTTCTTGGACTGTATTCTTTTCTTTTTTTGTATTTTAGGGAAGGGTCTACAGGGTGTTCAGGGTCTCACTACTAGATTGGACTCATAGGGATTCTCCTATTTACAGCCTCCCAAGTGCTGGGATTACAGGTACATGCCACCATGCCCAGTCTCAATTGCTGTCTCAGTGTGCCCGAAGGGCAGGGCTGGCATGGCAAGCCCAGGGATCAAACTCTGGGCTGCTGCGCCTGCTTGTAGGTGCTTTAATCCGCTGAGCTATATGGCCAGCCCTTGGACTGTACTCTTAAAAGATATCTGAAATGATCTCCAGAAAAGCAAGAATTCAACACGAAAAAAATTTAAAAATAATATTTGCCCAAAAGAGCAGCCAAGAGAGCCTTTCAGTCCACCTAGGAGTAAGGCTGAAAGAGAAGGGCAGATCTTTTCCAGACAACTCAGTGAGCTAAGCTACCCTGCCCAGCCCTCTACCAGTCCTACTTTAGAAGCTAGCCTAGAGACTATTCCACTGAAGGGTCTCTGTTAAAATGCAGTGATGTGGGGGCTTTTTAATCCTTTCTCTTTGTGCAAATGCTCTGTAGCACGTACCCTCTCTAATCACATACACATGTGCACCAGCACAGAGACATACAGCCATGTGCACATACATGTACAATACCCATACTAAATGAAACTATGACGATTATCTAGAAACAGAGAGAAAATACGCAGGCTGTTACCTGAGAACACTTAACACAGAATATACGTGGTTTATAAAACATGTCTATTTGTCCCAGGGAAAGGGAAAAGGCCAAGATATGGTCACTGCATGAACAAGAGGTCAGCATTATGACTTCCCCTTTTGAAACAACTTCAGCACGGCTGTAAACTGTCATTTCAATATAGTTTTAACCAAAGAATTCAGTACTTTCTGCATATGGAAAGGAAATCTAAGGATGGAGAGAGCTGGGAGGGAGGGGCAGTAAGGGGAAGTAAAAAGGGTTAAGATGTGACATGAGCACACATCAACTCCTTACAATGAATACAGTTCTTACGTACTACAAACAAGGCCTGATGAAAAAGTTTTTTTAAACCTGTGAAACCATAGAAAAAGGAAAAACTGAGAAAAAAACCCCAAAAACCATCTCTATTACCTCTGTGTTTTAGGGAGCTGGAAACAGAGAATTCTTTAAAGTAGGCCCCCTTTAGCCCATGATTCTACTTTTAGCAATTTCTGTTACCCATGGTCCAAAAATATTAAATGGAAAAATTCCAGAAATGTATGATTTATAAGTTTTATTTTTTCTTTCTTGTGTGTAGAGGAATCAAACTCAGGACCTTACACCTGCCAGGCAGGCACTATAACCACTAAGCTCTATCTCCACCCCCCCCATTTGTAAGTTTTAAATTACACATCATTCAGAGTAATGCGATAAAATTTCTTTTTTTTTTTTTTTTTGCGGAACCGGGGATTGAACTCAGGCCCTTGCGCTTGCCAGGGAAGCGCTTATTCCACTGAGCCATCTCCCCGGCCCCGCGATAAAATTTCATGTCTCCCACTATGTCCTGCCAGGCACAGTGTATCCATGCTAGACACGGTACCTATCTGTTAGTCGCGTAGTAACTATCTTGGTTATCAGGTACGTAGCACAGTGCTGTCATGCTTGCATTCAGGGCTTAGTACTACCCATGGTCTGAGGTACTACTGGGGGCCTTGACACATATCTCTCTCAGGAAGGGTAGACTAGTATAGAAACTAATTGTCTTTAAAAGCTGCATCACTATTTTTCTTCTGCCATTTTAATTTGAGTAAATGCTCTGTAGCATGCAGCCTCTCTATAATCACCCACATATGTGTATAAGCACACAGAAACATACAGCAATGTACATACACATTAAGACAAAGACTTGGAACTTCTTTTTCTTTTTTTGAGGGGTGAGGTACAAGGAACCGAGCTCAGGACCTTGCGCTTGCCAAGGTGGCACTGCGCCACTGAGCTATAACCCCAGCCCTAGAATTTCTAAGGTAAAAATAAAATCTCCAGGCCCATAGCTACCAAAGATCTACTGCTCTTACCAGCTTTGCACATCATGGAGGCCAGCAATTTAGAGACAATGGAACCTCTTTTTCTCATCTTGCACTGTTTGCTGTAAGGAAAGTAGGGGATCACGCCAATGATGCTCTTGGCACAGGAGGTCTTGCATGCATATACCATAATCAGGAGCTCCATGATGGTGGTGTTCACATCCCTGTAAGTAGACACAGAATTCATAGAGAGATATAAATAGTTGACAGGATATCCCTGTGGGGCTTGACATCCCAATGCCACCCTCCACAATGCACCTGCTGTCTGCTCCTTTGTCCTCTCATCCTCATCATTCCCAATTTCTTGCCACGCTGTTTTACTTATCACCTTCTGACACACTGGATCATCTATGAACTCCATTCTCCATGTCTTCCTCCATCAGAATATAAAAACTCCACAGGGACTAGACCCTTGCCTGATTACAAAGACACCTCAAATACCTGTAACTCTAACTCACATGATGCAGACATTTTATATACAGTTGTGAGTGACTGTGTGAATGAAACACAACATCTGCATGAGTGGGTTTTCTATTGCTATCCAGTGAGAAGACTGGCACCTGATAAATTAACTCAAATTTACAAAAAGTATTCTATGTGAAACAAAGAGAGGATTTGACAATGAGTATAAAGTCACTCCAAAGCTCCCAAACTTTGAACACTAAAGAACAAGACTTTCCACCACTCAACTCAAATGCTCAAAGTCTCGTTGAAATTACAGAAAAACAGTGACAGGAGCATTTAAATAAAAATCAGTAAAAATAAAGAAATGAAGATCTTAGAAATGAAAAAGGATAAACAGCCCTTCCAAAAGCCCTGATTAATGGGGACTTTGACGTCTCATGTTTCCAACAGCAATCTACACAAGCTCTCTGAAATCACACTTGGCTCTACAGAAATATAACTGCAGATACCTGGGAGTTGGAGCGGCCTGAGCTGTCCTGTGCCTGCACCCTCACTTCTTGGGGTTGAGGGGGTGGCTTAGGCCCAGGCTGGCCCTCCATCGCACCTGGCCCTGGTGCAAGCCTGGGCAGCAAGAGGGGCGGTGGGGCAGCAAGCACTCGGCACCCCCACACCCAGCTCTGCTAAGGACCCTTAAGTTCAGCCGAAGAGGAAGCAAAAGCACCACATCAAAGGCCAGCCGGGCCCTTCCTCATGCTCACCAAGGGATGGAGTATAGCAATAGGTGCCAGCTACCACTTTTCCAAGGGCAGGTGGGATTCTGTGACTTCATCCCAATGACACATAAGACCAAGATGGAGATAATTTAGGTGAAAGTATATTTGTTCCATGAAGAATGTTCCTGGAATTTGGTTTTTCTTCTCTTTGATATTTATTCTCTCTATATTTCTCTATCTATATTTAGCATGCACAAAAATCCAGACTCTTAAGCTAAAAATGATGCACTATTCAAACTGACCTCTACACATTAAATTTTTTCTGAGGCCCCAATTCTTCCATTTGCAAAGCAAGAGCTCACAGAAAATATGGCTCAAACTAGTGGCTAGAGTTTGGGGTTTATATACTTTCTTACAAGGGTAAGGGAAGAGAAGAAAGGGCCTTAAAGGAAAAGAAATGACTTAAGAAGGATAAATAAGTCCATACGACAGCAGAGAGGAGACAGACAATGTCTGTTCAGATGACCATTTATCTTGGTGTGATTTCTTTCCTAGCTTCATGCCAGGAGTAGCAAAACTCTCAAACTTCAGGAGGAGATTTATGACATGACTTCTTTAGGAAGGCTTTGATGTTAAGCAAATAAAGAAGAATTCAGAAAAAGTCCTCTTTCTATACCTTATGATGCTCAAATGTCCTCAGATCAAATTTTGTCCCTATTATATCTTCAGAGAGAGAGGGCAGAGTCAAGCTGGAAGGATAAGTTTCTAATCACTGTAAGGCCTTGCCTGGCTGAGGTTGGGCACTGAGGGTCTCTGATTATTATTTTTTTTTTTTTCAAATCAAATCGGTAGGACAGTTTCAATAATTAACACACTGCACACATTCTTCTTAGTGGTTAATTGCTGTACAAGATGCGGACCTGACATCCCATTTACAAACACCATTAGAACAAATCATTCTATTCATTAAGAGAATGTAACTATACATCTATCCCAACCTCTCTGAATACACAGATACAAAATGGACATTCATTTGTATACTTTTTTTTGTTAAGTTCTGTTATTTGAATATTATAGGTGTGTAAACT